GTAAACTCAAGTAGAGCCATTCAATTTCAATGTCTTGAGTAAGCTAGATTGGTGTATATATTAATATGTTTAGTGTTATATAAGAAAATGTTGAGAGAAGCTTGGGTTAACTATCTTAAGGGAGCATTTCTTAAAACTTTGCTGCATTTATTCAACTTTTAATCATTTTCTTCTAAAAATTTAGATGGTGTTTACCATTATTCCAGAGGTGTTCACTTCTGGAAAAAGACTGTTCCACTATCCCTATTAACACATTTATAGGGCTGATCTTTCAAACCATCAGAAATGTTACCACACTAAAAACATGAAAGCCACTTAAATATCTTGTCTACCCCAGGAACCTCCTGATTGAATTAACTTTTGTTCTATATTTACTTTAGCTACAAAAGAAGGAGTTTCTGCACACAGTTTTAAATTGCATATCTAAAAGCAGTTACACAAACATAGCTTAAAAGTACGTGCATATCAAAGATATTACAAATGACAGACACTAATTATACACAACCTGTATGCACATATGTGATTTTGCAACACAATACTTGAGTGAATCCATGCTTCAATTTTTAAATTTATTCTTTTATTTGATTGAATCACTTCTTTGCAAACTGGCTTATGTTTGTGGACATCATCTGAAATGTTTTAAAGATTATATTTTTTGGTGGTGAGAGTGAATGTTTAATGACTCCATAAACTAACAGTGTGTTTATAGACTGGCTACTATCTGACACTGAAAATCTAAGATGCGTGCTTACTCAATTTTGGTCTTTCCAAGGTTCGATTGTTTTTTAATAGTGCAATATTCTAGAGATAGCTTTTAAAATTAACAAAATGCAAGACTCCAGAAAAGTTAATAAAAAACAGCTCAATCCTGATGAGGTTGGCTGATATTCACAGAAGTCAGGGAGACTAAGTCTATCTATAAGTATTCTTTTACAATAAATCTATAATGGAATTTAAATGAAACACACCATTATGAGACAATAAATTTTCTATAGTAGGGAGTTACAATGCATTCAAAGGTAATGGTAAGATATTTATTAATTTAATCAATGAATGTGTATTTTATAGATTTAATTTGCTGGAACTATAATATGGTAGCTTCTTTATTAGCAAATAAAGTAAATTTGTTAGGCTTTGAGTGCTTTTGAAGGCATCCACATTTGAGTAAATTAGGGTCTAGGTATTAAAACAAATACTCTTAACAAAATAATTGTAAGTAAAAATAGGTCACGCTGAGGATAAACACCATTTTTAACTCTAAACTTAATAAAAAATAAACATTTTGAGAAATGATGAATTGTGTGTAAGAAACAACAATAAATATAGTAGAATAAGAATCTACAAGATTTCTTAATTTATTAGGTTGCGTGTCATTTTTCCATGCCTGAATTTATACTTTCTTGATTAAAAATGAACATTTAAAAAGTCAACACCACTATTTATTTCATGATAAAATATCTAGTAATCCACTCAGCTCATTAAAAATATATTAGTTATATCTTTCAGTCTTGAGGAGAAAGAAATTGGTTAGAGAATCATAATTGGGTTTATTTCAATTATTAGAGCATCTACTAGTTTACTCATGATTTTTTACTTTGAGTAGGAAATTGAGGAATATCCCAGAGCTATTTGCATGAATGCTTTATTTCGAACATTAAGTAAAGAAGAGTGGATTCATAGCTTATGAAATAATTATCTATGGAGACCTTGTAACTGGATAGGTCTGCAAATGAGTAACTGGATATAAACATTCTTGATAACTCATCAAATATGCTTGAAATGATGGTGATAAAAGCCTTAAAATGTTATTGATGTGGGTATTTGATGACCAGTATAAAATGGTTAGAGTGGTTATTTGATATCACTAAAAAAAGTTTTAAAAAAGCTGGGCCAGAACTTCCAGGTATATTTGCAGTAAAAAGGCCATTAGTGTTCACAATTATATGTCATCTTCAGGGAACCCTTTTCCCTTTTCTATAATGGAATAAACACTATTACACTAGCCCCTTCTCTTAAGAACCAAGATCATCCATTAACAATCAATAATATTCAAACACAAATTATTTTTTTCTTTTGCTCTTCTTTAGAACTAATGAATTGCAAACATTAAAATCATAAAATGTACCAGTGCATGGAGAAACTTGTCAGAGTTATACTACTACATGTCTAAATGAAATCATCCACGTAGTTGCTAAATTAAAACACCAACAATGCCAGATGTCACCTAAGTAATTCTGGTAAGCTGAATGTGAGTTTATAAAAGATGTTAGAAATGAAAAGTCTGACATTTTTTGAGTTTCTCCGTTTTGAAAGTTGTTACATGAGAATATTTTGATCTTGTTTTCCATGAAACTGACAGTGGTCACCATGTTAATAATATAAATCTGCTGAGAAATGAGACTTTGTTTTCACTAGATGACACTAAGAAATCAACCAAGAGCAATTATTTTGTAGAAGTGACTATTATCCCAGAACTTTGTCAGAGCCAAGGTAAACATAATGGAAAGAAGACCTAATGTGCCCTCAGGAGTGTATTCTTTAAATGTTGGCTTATTTTTTAGCTACATAATATGAAAACAAAAGATACATTATTTAAACTCATTAGACACCATGACACCATAAACCAAGAATATCTGATACTAATAATTTGAAAAGAAGTTGGGTCAATATTACTTCTTCCATAGAAAGAGAACTTTATCCAAAAAGACAAAAAAAAAAAATCAAACATAAATGGTATGTTTTCAAAACATATTTTGTTTTCATAATATTTGTCTTTTTAAAGCATCCTCATCTCTTATGAAGTTTATCTGCAACAACTCTGTGAAGTAGACAATGTTGTCCCCAGACGAGAAATGTGGAAAATAAATGAAGAGTGGTCAAGAAATGTTACTAGGATCACATTAATGAGGTAGAACTAGAATTGAAATTAAGGAAGGAACCCCAGATCTATCTTACTCTACTTCTCACAATAACCCACGACTAGGAGAAGAGAAAAGTGTTAAGAATCTTAGAAGGGTACTTCCTTAATCATAATCTTACTATCCGAGAATGCCTTTGGAATATTTTTTAATAAAATATAAATTTGTGCTAACCTTGCCACAGATTGGTGTTACATTTCTGTTCATGTCTGAACTTTTAATACTAATATCCAATTTTCTAAATTACTAAAGTTTTAGACACTTATTCTAGTTAATGACTGCTCATTATATAGATAATATCAGAAAAATCAAAATAACAGGAAAAAAAGGAAATTGAAGCATAGGTTAATAATACAGCATCAAAGTTTTGAAGTCCTACCAGTTGAGTTGTTTGCACTTGAAGAGAGAAAGACACAAAGGCACTATTCTGAAAAGAAATTCCACTTTTATTCAAAGAACACACAAATCTAAGAGTAAGACAATTTTATGTATGTAGATATGTATATGGTACACAAATGCACACACTCTTTTAGAGTCCCAAAGGTTTCTTCTTATTTAGATTTGACTTACTTAACTATTTTATATCAATTATTTTGCTTGCAGAAAATCAAGATGCACTGTATTTTATAAAAATGTACATTGTCATAATGTTGAATTTATTAAAAGAAAATATCTCATGAGATGCTGGAATCATATCTTATCTGATTAAATAATAAATGAAATCAATCGTATATGGTATTACATCTATTACATTTGGAAACAATATTCAAGCAATGTAGATTTAAAATAAATACCTCCTCCACTCACTCAACAATGGAGATATATATATACATACACAAACACAGAATGAACATATTCACTACAATAAAACTCCAGACGGTAAAATGCTAAAGAACTGAGGAACTGGAATTGATTGACAAATTACCCTCTCCAGTGGAGTTAAAACTATCTCTTGCACCAAACTAAGAAAAGCACTATAACTTTGCAATCTTAAGACCCAAAGTTGCAATTATCTTTCTTATTTCTTCAAGATGTTATCAGTGAGCTTTATAAGCAGAAAAATTATTGATCAGGCATCCACATTAATAAATGTAAGTACTAAAAATATTTCGAGAGAAAATCTTAAGGAACACATTTTCCTAGAGGAGAAAAAGTGTTAGAAATAAATAAAATAGTTCTGGGATTGTGTCATTAATATTTTTTGCTTCACTGTGTGGGGACTCTAGATTCCTTCAACATGTAAGCAAAACAGAATAAAATATCAATAGTAATAACAAAACTTATTGTAGCACTTAAAATTTCTTTTGTCCTTTTAATTGAGTTTTTTCTTAAGTCAGATAGTGGAAGAAATCTATTGGCTGCTAAAATCACACATCTACAAAATTTGGAATTTAAAAAGGCTTTATTGATGGGAGGTCTCCCATAATTTCTTAAATTTGTTAGATTTTATTTTTTAGTTTCCAACTGGTTTCCGGAGCCCAAAGATTTCTATACTGGGGTCATAGATAACATTGCCTTAGGGCAAGCTCTTTTCTCATCTTATTTGACAACCTAACCCACCCTCACCCCACGGATTTTTTTTTTTTTTTTGAAATTGAGAAAATAACATGAAAACACACACGAAACATTTCTCTCAAGTAGTCAGAATTGAATTGCTAGGTGAAGATGCCCTTAATAGTTCTCCAACTGTCCTTTATATATTAAGGTCTGTGACCTTAATAAGAAGCCATGTTTTAAGGTATTTCTGTAACTCTTATCTTACATACTCATTAGGGTTATGCATTCCTTGCTCCAACTCTTTACCCCCCTCATTTCTTCCTCTCACCTCGGCCCAGTTTAGGATTTCTTTTTGACACCGGTAAACATTTAAATGAATGCAAGTCGAATATTCAAATAACTGCATGCTAAACATTGAAACGGCTTTAAACGATTCATGAATGTGAATATTAAGAAGTTATGCATCATAGCTGAGCCATCTGAAAATACATATAATCTATCACTTGAAACAAAGATAAATTATCACGGGATGGGTCAAACATAGGTTCTACGATCGTCAATAAAATACAGACGTTCGGTCCTTACCTGCTTAACTGCATGATGACAAATCTAAATAGCACGCAAAAGAAAAAGTCCCCAAATCTGAATCATCTGTCTTCGAAGCTGCTGTGACAGTTTTATACCCTGGTGCCGTCTTCTCTGCTTACATACATCTGACTGGCTAGAATATTTGTAAGCAACAGTAGGGTTATTTCGCAACCCTAGTCACCTCTTCCTCTTTTCCAGCCTCCGGTTGGCATCTCACACAGCTGGAAACAAACATCTTATCCTGGGAGACAGAGCCTCCCCAGCGTTTCCTAGCCGGATTCCCATTAAAAGGAGGTCCCTGTTCTAAATGGCTGATCACGTACTCGACCTGGTGCAAAGTAAGACGCTCTCTGGTTCAACTCTTGGGGACTAGGACAACAGCCGTCAGAGACTTAAACTCTGCCACTGCTTGGCTGCAGAACCAGAAGTCACCAGGCGCCAAGAAGCACCACCCCCTCTCCGAGTGGACGCCGGAGGAGAGCGCTCCGGTCCCAGATCCTCCTACCTCCCACCCCGCCCCCAGAAAAAGGGAAACGGAAAAATAAAAGCCCAACTTGAAAGTGGCTACGAGACAAGCTAAACGGCTCCCCACCCTCCCTCTTTGCTTTTAACTTCAACCTTCTATGCCCAGCTCTAGCTCCGAGTTGAAATGCAACTCTCTCTCCCCCACCCCAGCGCCCTCCAGATTCTTGAGAGTTGGGGAAGGAGGAGAGGGAAGGATGGTCAGCAATACTTGAACACAGAGCCTGAGAAGCCAGTTAGCAATCCTAAACCCAACCAGGCGGTGGGATGGAGGCTGTGATTAGGGGTTCATAAAGCAGGCACGCTGAAGAGCCGTCATTTATTAGACTTAGGCAGAGCTCATTCTAAATAAATAAGAAATCGATCAGTTCAAACGCAGAAGGGCGTTGATAGGAGATTCCAGAGCTCCCGAGTCTACTCTTGCACAGAAAAGAGGTTTTTGCTCAAGTTTGGCCAGAGGAAGGCTGGAAATGGAGCTTTAAGCAAGGATGAAAGCCCCCTGGCGCGCCCCACGCTCCAGGGCTGCAAATGCCTACCAAGCCAGCACACCGCCGCCGCAGGGGCTGAGTGCGGAGCCTGCGCTAGCGGGTCAGAGTGCTGGGCACAGTCCTACCCGCGCGGGTCATCCCCACACCCAGCACCAAGTCTGGGGCCAGCCGGTCAACCAGGCACCTTGTCCTCCGCGCTCCCTGCGCCCAGGTGGCTTAGGCGTTGCCATGAGCTGCGGAGAAATCTCCAGGCAGAGTCGCCTGTTGATAGCCCTCTGGTTCAAGCGTCCTTGGCTGACGGAGCCCCTAGATGTAAATTTCCCCATCACAAGCTGGAGTTTGACGTTATATACAGCAAAACGCACTTACCTAAATACCGTACGTCTGTGCCTTCCTGGAGTAGACTAGGTGAAGAAGGAAAGATCTGACTGCGCTGAAAGTTGGGGGTTTTTTTCTTTCTTTCTTTTTTTTTCCCTCCCTCCACCCCTGCGCAACAGCAGCAGTCGTCCAAAGAGATTATTTGAATTGGTGAATTATGCTAAGCCCTCGTTTCTTCCACTGAAGTCACGGACGCTGATGGCACTTGCCAGGCAGGACCACCAGTCCGGGAAGGAGACCAGGTAGTAGCTAGTGACGGGTGAGGGGCGCCAAGGGGTACGGGCCACAGTCCCAGCCCTGTTCTCTTGGTGGGAGCCAAGAGGGGAAAGCCCTTGAATCCTGAGCCTGGGGGGTGGGGTGACGCTGCAGCTGGAGTACTTTTATGTCTGGAAGCTAAAAGGGCTTTTGAATTTATAAAAGCACTACTTAGGTTGTCGCGTCAGCCATCAATGACGACAGAAATAGTTTTTTCCGAGAAATTAAAAAAAAAAAAAAAGGAAAAGGAAGAAAGAAGGAAAGAAAGAAAAGCTTAAACAATAGGTTCGCACCTCCATCCATCAGAATAAAGAGAGATGTTGTAGAAATCTGGAACTTGTTCTTACTGGGGGGTGGTTCACAGAGAAAATCCTAAGCCTTTATATGCATTAGAGATTACTGACATATGCAAGTCTGGTATTTAATGAATACTGTGTTCTTGTCAATATATGAAGTAAAAGCAAAGATTTAAATGTTTCTCAATGCACCCATACCTAAAGAGGAAGTGATAATCAAAACTGTCAGTTGACCCCATAAAAAAATGTTTATAAAAGCAAAAAACACTGACCACATTAATGTACTTATTAAAAATTGAGTCTAGGAGTTGGACAACTCTGAAGAGTAAGGCAATGAAATTTTTTATGTATAGTCTGCCCCTGAATTTCAATTTATTAGAACCAAGGTAATCAGTGCCTTCTTCTGCTAGCTCTCTTCCTCTGAAATGAGCACTCCATGTCCAATTAACTGTTCACCAGCTAAATTCACAAAATCAGAAATGTATTCCCAAATATGATGCCTGCATTGAAATACAATGCCAAAATAATGTGTTCATGTGTGATTCGAAATGTTCTAAGAAAAAATGTTGCACTCAAAACTCACAGTCCTGTTCTTACCATCCAGTGGCTTTTAGTGCTTAACGTCCTGCTAAACCCATAAAAATAGACTTTACAAGAGTCCTCCTTCGGTCATGTAATTGCTTACAGTGAACGAATTCTGACCCGAACAACCTTGTGAAGATCAGAGACTAGTGAACTTTCCCAAACCCTGATATTGTCAGAAGGTTTCTGTTAAGCTCACTCTTAGATAAACATAAAATTTAACCTTTCAAATGGCACAAGAATGTGTGCCAAGAAGCATTAATGGCGGGGGGGGGGGGGGAGGGATGGTTACTGTTTCCTATAACCGGTAATATAAATGAGGACAGAAATAAATAATGTAAAAGGTGATGGAGTAATTCATTACATGGACTATATCTCAGTAGCACCATTGCAACTAACATACTCGTTAATAAACAGGGTCATATAGATCTTTGAGTTTTCAAAGTAACAAAATGAAAAAAAAGAGGAATCTTTTTTTTGAATAGACAAATCTAATTAAAAATAACACTAGCGATAAGTTTCTAAGGACATATAAAGAGAGTAACTTACCAGAGGAAATTCCAGGAGGCAAGATGACTGTGAGAAATATACATCCAGGATTCACACAGATATTCCATGATCTTCCAAATCAAGGTACAGTGATAGCTACAAGGGGGTGGAACTTTGAAATAATCAGCAGTTCCCGGTGGCATGTAACCAAGTAAAAACCAGTCACAGGGAGAGCCACAAATTCCCAAGGAAGAGAAGCAAAATGTGAAAGAGGTGCCTCTTATTATGAGGGGACGGGGGTGAGGGGAAGTTATTTGTGGTGATCCTTAGGCAGACAGAGTGCAAATTTACAGATTGTACATCCCCAAACAGTGGGGAAAATCAGGAGCCCGGAGAGCAGGAGGTGGGATACGGATAAATCTGCAAAGAGAAGTCAAAGGATGTGTTGAAGACAAGGAGATAAAGAGAGAACTAGTGAGCAAGGCTGTAGTCATCCTGAAAGATACAGCAGCCAGAATGATTTAGGCTTCTGGGAAGCATCCAATGAGAATTCAAGAGGGCATTGCTTCGGAAATCCTGTTCCGATCTTGCCACTCTCAGTTCTTTAAGAGTTACCTGCGTTGGGAACATTATCATTAGGATTAATAGTATTCCATCAGTGCATTTCACAAGGATTTCCCTTGAATCCTCCTCTCGCTCGCAGAAACAGAAGGAGGCGCAGTGAGGAAGCCCGACACAACCAACTCTCCCCCCTCCCAAATAAACCACTAGGGTCACTTTAGGATGACCAAATCATCAGCGATTCACACTGAAGGGGGGAATCGGAGGGCTGATGATGTGGAGGAGGCCGAGTCGCTGGGCGCTTTCGGGGCGCTGTGCCCGGAGGCTCAGGCCAGGGGACCGGGAACCTTGGTTAGAGGCGGCCGCGGAGGCTGCAGGAGCCCACACAGGTCCTGCTTTCTTGGCGAGTCCTGCTGCCCGCGACTGAAGGCAATTGACTTCCATCCGCAATCTCAGCTCCAAACGCCTTGCTTTAGAAGCTGGGGGAGCCGTCCCTGGGGGAGCGGGTGGCAGGCTGTGAGGCTCCCGCGCCCCCTCTGATTCCTGCACAGTGCCCAAGGGAGAGTGTGCTAGAAATGGCTTGGCTGCCGAATGCATTATCTTGCCATTTTCGTATCCCGATACCGCACAAACGATCGCCTGATCGATCGGGTAAGATTAGCCTGATTCCTTCTCCCCCTTCCTCTCCACGACCCCATGCCTTCTCCAAGTCCAAATCCTAACCCCCCCAAAACCCAAATCCTCCTCCCTCCCTCTCTCTCTCTCTCTCATTCAATTCAGGAACTTCCTTTTCCTCTTTGAAACATACTTCCCCTGGGGAATTGCTGGTGTGACAGAGGGGCTGGGAATTCTCTTTGTAGATGATTTATATTTCGGTTGTGAAATGACTCCCCCGTCGCCACTCCCGGTACCCTCCTTGGAGGCGATCCCTCCCTCCCCAAGGGTTCGCTCTCCGAGCTTGGATCTGGATAAAGAGCGCTGTGGGAGTCTTTTGCCCTCTACTCTGTCTCCCTCTGGACCCTGAAGCTTAAGCATTATCCACTCTCTCTCTTCTTTAGAACTAGGAGGGAAAGGTAGAGTGGAAATTGATTTCTGGCAGAGACTGAGGCGCCGAATGATAGAGGGAATAAACATTTGCCCTGGATAAAAATGTTCTTGGTAAGTAATCTTATTTTCTGCGGTTGAAAAGGAAACGCATTGCTTCTCACGGCCCCATGCCCCACTCCATTCATTTATTTGCTCTCTGTATGTCAATCACGAGCTGGGTCAGTGGAAATTTTCTTTTGCTCCTTCCTAGGAGAGTAGTAGCATGTAAGGGTGAATTTGAAGTCGGGACTTTAAGGAGGCAATATGAAGGTGTAAGGTCCTTCTCCCACATTCAAAACTCAAACACAGGTAAAGCAGATTCCTATTTGCTTGCTAAATGGGTATTTAAATATCTCCCTTATTTCTTACTAACTCTTTCTTTTCTGAAAATAAAGAAAATAGTTTCAGGTAGCAGCGCCTTGTCTACGCTTTTCCTATACCTTGGCCGCGTTCTAAGATATAATGTTCTTTCAGTTCCAGAAATGAAAATGTGCATGTTTCACATTTTGCTAGTTTAAGTTAAAGCTATAGAAGCCTTTTTACTAATGTGTGCATCTTTGTTCCATTTCTTGCACAAGATACAGATTACTAGCATCCAAAATAGTTATTTGCATGTTGTGGTGATACCTATAAATTCATAAAACCCTCTTGTATTCACGAGGCTATAGCACCCCCAGCCTGTACATGCTCTTTACATGAAGATGGGTAGTTGTGGGAGAGGGAAGAAGTGGAATAGCTCTTGATTGGGCTTACAGCACATCTCTAAGTGTGCAGAATAACAAATCTTGCAAACGGTGTGAACTTAGTTTTTCAAGTGTAAGCTGACCATTTTGGATGTGAAAAATTAAAGGAAGCTTGCTCTAAAGGAAATCATGGCAGTCTGGGGTTATAGAATATATTTCACTCGTAAAATATTCATATTAGATTTTTTCCCTCCATTGTTGTCAATCCTCCCATTGTGAACCCCTTATCCCCAAATTTTAATGATCAAGAATAAGCTAATTGGTACAAAATTTACTGCTGATGCAAGCAAGATGTCCTTAACCTCATCTAGAATATCTGTATTGAAATTGCATGGCTAAGAATAGACTTCATTTCAGGTGATCAGTTTTACAGAAATCACAGTAAGGAATCCCAGAAGAGAGATAGCTAAGTGGCGTATTACAACAGCAAGGCAAGCTGCGCATGTGCACGAGCATCTATAGTCTTTCTTACTATTAGAACTGGCAAGAGAAAAAAATTTCAGTATGGACATGTTTGTATAACTTTTTTTTTTTTTTCTCTCCTTAGGCTGTATTCCAGCCCTAACGATGTCCTAGAGCAGAAGTTTTTCTTCAGTCGTCTCATTTTACCAAAAGGATGATCTCTGTGTATGTCTCTGTGTTTTACAGAGGCTGACAAGCCTGTTATGGGAATCTTAGCTCCATCCATCCATAAGGAGGATGAATATCCTGAATTACAGTCATCACAAATACAATCTTAGCAGTTGTAATATATAGAGAACATACTTTTCATGTAAGATCTCAATATGCTGCCTAAACCTACTTACCTAAACTACTGTTCAAAGAAATACAGTTTTTTGCTGAGGACAAAACTTGACAAATTAAAAGATGTAAGATTAAAATTTTTGTTTTTTATTTAATTAATTTTTTTAATGTGGAAGACTCCCCCTGAGGTAACATCTGTTGCCAATCTTCCTCTTTTTGCTTGAGGAAGATTGTCCCTGAGCTAACATCTCTGTCAGTCTTCCTCTATTTTGTATGGCGGCCTGGGGGCCACCAAAGTGGAGCGCGTGAATTAATCACTATGCCATTGGGCTGATCCCTGAAATTTTTATTTTCTATGTGAAATAAACATGAGGTTATTGTTCTTTCAAATATTTGGAGAAAAAAAGTACAGTGTAAAACATGAATTTTGTGACCCATGGCTCCTTAACTTTAAAATAGTTTATAGCACTGAAAGTTTATTAAATGATTTAGGTATTTGAGCATTATTTTAAGACATATGATTACATTTGATCAACCTCAAAATACAAGTGTAGAGTCTACAAAGCTTGTTTGTACTTAGACCTCTTTCAAAGGTTACCCATTTTAATTTTATGTTGAGTATGCCCTTTTGGGGATACTCTCAATTCATACCTAGTAGTTGGCACTCTAGCACATTTTGTATTACTGGTAATGCTTTATCTACTATCCTGGCTCCTTCTTTTAAGTATACGAGTACCACCTAATATATTTGTTACTTATTTATCCACTAAAATCTTTAATCTAAAAGCAACCTTCAAGATATGTTAAAGAAATTGTGAACCAATTTGCTTGTGAACGAAAATGTCAATATGCCTCAGATTATTTTAACCTTAAATCACATTCATAACAAAAATGGGTTGTAGTAAAGCAAGTAAATTCAAACGGTTCCTTACATAGAAAAGAGTGTCATGCAGAACACACATTTATGCATATACAATTGCCCTCATTAGAATATTTAAATTTATTCATCTTAGTCTCTTTGCTATGTGTTTATTTTGGTTTTAGAGCTTTCTCTTTGAAAGTATCTAAAGTTTCTTAAATATCGAAGCGTGCAAGCATCTTCACGTCTTGCTCCGTAAGACCAATATGTTGCTGAATAAACTGAGCCAACATATTTGAATCTCAAAAAAAGTATGTTGGAACTTGAAGGGACTTAAAAGATCATTTAGTTTAACTCCTTCATTCTGATGAAGAAATTGAGAACCAGAGAGGTTGATTAGTGTAATCGTACACTAACTAGTGACCCAAGGAACTCTAAATGTGGTTTTCCTAATTTAGCTAGTATTCATTCTAAATCAATTAAATCTATTACTAGCTGCTAAAACAGATATTATTTGAGATTGGGATAAGGAATAAAATAGAGAAAGAAACAATAATACAAAGATGAATAAATTGCAGCCTTCTTGGAGTTTACTGTATTGATAACTAATACTCTTTATTGTTGAAAATTTTTGTTTCCCACCATGCTTCACCCACCCCCCCCAACCCTGCCTCAATGATTGGGGAACATTTCATGATATAATTTTACTTTCTCAGGAAGGATTCTTCATTTTTTTTTTGAAGATTCTTTTTTTAATTTTTTTCCTTTTCCTCCCCCAAAACCCCTGGGTACATAGTTGTGTATTTTTAGTTGTGGGTCCTTCTAGTTGTAGCATGTGGGATGCTGCCTCAGCATTTCTTGATGAGCAGTGTGTAGGTCTGTGCCAGGGATCCCAACTGGTGAACCCCAGGCTACTGAAACAGAGCATGTGAACTTAACCACTATGCCACCAGACTGGCCCCTCAATAGGTATTTAATGGATGAAATTCAGTACTTCACCAAACTTTCCCTCTTTACATTCTTACAAAGGGTTACTGCATTTAATTTTTATCCTACGTTTAGAAATGTTACTAAATGACAGCATTCTTCAAAATTTTTTCTCAATATTTGACATATATTTGGCCTAGTAAACTGTGTTAAAAATAATGACTCTGCTACTGCATGGGACTTTATAATTTTATAAATACCTTACTGTTAACTATATTAATTTAATCCTCTCACCATGCTGTGAGTTAAAGCATTTTGTTTCTTCAAAAATAAGACAAATGAGGTTTGAGGAAATTGGAGCACTGTTATTCCTTACTAAAAGTAATAATTGAGTTCTTTTTATTCACTATATTGCATTTTCTAATTTGTTGGAGGGAAGAAGAAATATAATGGAAATATCAAATTATTTATTAATTTTATTAGCAAATTATTTATGTAAGTATAAATGCTTCATCTATCAACTTTTGCAAGTAAAATATATTCATGGAAGAGTGAAATGTTTCTAATATTACAAGCTGAATTATAAAACTATCAGTTTATGTAACATTTTGTTATTCAGAGTTCTCAGAATTAAGATTTTTGACAATAACGAAAATAGTTATTTTCTAAATTATTTGTACTACCCAACTCCATTCATTAGTATAGTGACCAAAATATGTTCATTGGCATAATGGTTCTATGTATTAATGCACTGTCAATTGACATGTATAACGCTGCATAATTTTTGAAGTAACTTACAAAAATAACAATTTTCAAAACATTCAAGGAAGTGATCAGACGCAACTTTCTTATAATCCTTCCTTGTATCTGTATTTCAATGATTATTCACTGTGGTAGAAAGAATAACAACTCCCAAAATGTCCACATCTAATTCCCAGAATGTATGACTAGGTTACCTTCTATGGCAAAAGGAACTTTGCATATTTCATAAGGTTAAGGACCTTGAGATACAGAGAGTAGCCTAGATCAGCTGCATCTGCCTAGTGTAATCACAAGCATCCTTACAAGAGGAAGGCAGAAGGATAGAGTCAGAGAAAGAGATGCGATGAAAGAAGTAGTTGAAGTGATGGGGAAGCGTTAGCCAAAGGGTGCAGGTAGGGCACCTCTAGAAGCTGGAAGAGGGCAGGAACCAAATTCATTTCTAGAGCTTCCAAGAGAAGTGAAGTCCTGCTAACCCATTATAGACATCTGACCTCCCAAGCTGTAAGTTTAATAAGTTTGCGTTGTTTTCAGATACCATGTATTTGTGGTAATTTATAACAGCAGCAACAGAAAACTAATAGAGCCAGTCATTCAAAGAGTTCAAAAATAAGTAGTATGTTCTTTCCTCTCTAGGAACTTGATGACTTAACAGCAAACTCTTGCTTCACGGCTATTCCATTCCTCCAGGTAGTGGACAAAGCATCATTTTTCATCAAGAGCCAAGTTGATTCTTCCAACTTGCTTACATAGGGAATGGATAGGAGCCAAGATGGGGAGAACTGGACATCGAACTAGTTTCCAGAAATAAACTAATAATTCAAGGACTTCTAATATTACATAGGTTTATTCATTTAGAATGTACTACTTAGCAAAGAGTCTTACACATGTTAGCACCCAATACATGCTGATTTGTTTATAAGAAATACTGATATAGGTGTAAGGAAATGAATAATGATCATGAAATTTGAAGATTATATGAAACATATATGATATGAAGAAAAACTACTAAACACAATAAGATTAAGTGCAGAAGCCAGTGGAAATTGGAAAAATATTAAAAGAAACTTGAGATCTAAAATGAGACCATAAGAGACTGACTGACAGGGAGTGGGAGGAATTTTATTTTCATGGAAAGATTGATATGAAGCAATTGGAGCGTTTTCTCCTTGTATTTTGTACAATATTGCAATCAAGAAAAGAAGCTGAACATTTGCTTAATTAGGATGCATCATTAATTTTAGTGTCTCATGGATCCTAAGGCCTTTCACCCCTTTAATGAAAATAAAAAGAAACTAAGCCACTTGATTGCCAATTCTCTTGGTATCTCTAAATCTCTCTAATGCTCGTACTTTTTATTCTGAAGAAATACATACCTTGTAGGAAGATGAAAAATAATCCCTCACATTGATCATGGAGTTTTGCCTCTGAGGAGAAAATATGAATTTACAGACAAAAGCAATTTTAAGAGACTATATAAAATGAATTCATTTCATATTTATGGGAGAAAACCAAGCCTAAAAGTCAATTCAACAAATATTTATTGAGCTTTTATTCAACAATCATTTATTGATAGTATAACGTGTAAGAACAAGGTTCTAAATGTTATAAGGATATAAATATAGGTAAATTACAGTCTTTCTGTTGTGGTAGGGGGGTCAGGGGAGTATACCGATAACTATAAAGGTCTTTTTGACCCCATCCTACACCCTATTTGCATCATCAATCATCCTCTTATTAGACAGAACAATTAATTTATTGAATGTCATCTGTGGGCCAAGCACTTCTTAGGATAATGTGCTAAATACAATAACAAATGTCAGGAACCTCAAGTATCTTACAAATATTGACACAACCATCATAATAACAACAACAAAAGAAAGCAATAAATCTAGAGTTGAATAATTGCTGGTGTCCTTAGCCTAGCCGTAAGGTCTCCTCAGCAACAAATACAGAATCCTTCACTTACTTACATTACTTCCCAGCTTCCGGAAGCTTGTAAGTTTATTACCTATTGCCTGCACTTGCAGGAAAGAGTTTGCTTAGAGTTTAAGAGGCAACAGTGTCAGTAGGATGAAAGTTTTTTTCTTCAGTAGAAGTTTAAAGTTGTAATTCACAACTCCAAAATTCTGTTGTTAACCAAAATTGTAATCTTGTGCTCACTTCCAGTTCAGTGGAGTCAGCAGGATGGGTGTGGTGATCTGATACACAGAGATTCAGGGACCAAGACGCCTTCCACCTCATGACCCAGTGTTCCACTAAGTCCTTGGATGTTCTCTACTCATTTGGTAAATGTGGGAAAGAGGAGATGTGGAGGATCACTTAGGAGAATTTTATGGTCCAGATCTGGAAGTGAGTCATAGCACTTGCGTTCACACTCCATTGACCGGAACTTTCTTATGACTGAAACTGACTGCAAAGGAAGTTGTAAAATTAAGTCAGCTTTGTGTCTAGCAAGAAGAGAACATGGATAGCAAACTGCTGCACCCATATTCTCAAACCAAATCGTTCTTATCCATGACTAAACCATCAGACTGAACATTCAGTGCAGGCAGATTCTTTAACTTTGCTCACAGGGAGGAATTAGATGAAGGAGTTTGATGGGTGGTGTGCTGTTAGGTAACAGGGGGAACTTCAGTCCTTGCCAGCATCTAGAATG